GTGCAAATACTCCCTTAGGTTTGGGTTGCTTGGACTTGGAGCGTCGGGGTCTACCATGACCTGCAAAGTACAGATGATCACTAAAAACCAGGGCCTAGTTTATACCAAAATTTTAACATGTGCAACATAAATTTGCATTTCTCTCGCTCTCTCTCTTCAAATCTATTAACTACCTTCTCCTTCATTAACTCTACATCCATGAGTAATGAATACAACTGCTACTATGTATTCTTAATTGTACTCTATTATCATCAACTAAAGAAGGCTAATCTCTATTTTAGGGCTTTTTTAAAAAGAAATCAACAATTCAAGAACGAAATAGTAAGAAAATAAGCAATGAAGCTTTTGTTGCTTACAAGCGTGTAGAAAGTCCTCATGTCATGCCCTCCAACCTCAACCCTAGGCTGGTCAACAACAGCTGAGGGCTTAAGCTCGCACCCATTGCTAATCTCCCTTGAGCTATAAACAACTCTAAAGGGCACGCTCCTTGTGAATGGATCCAACACATCCCCAATCACTCTCCCTACTATCAGAGGATCCCTCCCTCTCTGCATTTTGATCCTAATTAAATAGTGATGCCAAATACATAGAGAGAGATTTATAGATAATAACTTAAAGAATCCACTTTCTTTCTTCTTTCCTTGTACTACTAAATCTTTAGATTTCATGTAGACCTCATAGCTCCCTCAATATGTCTCAAGACATATAGAGCCTATATGTCTCAAGACACTTAGAGCCTTTTTCCATTGTATCTTGACTTGTTGGGCTCTCTTGTCTCCTTCTTTGCGTGAGGACTGTGTACCGAGATAAGAGAGAAAATCATATTATTCCTTTTCCTATGATTTGATCTTGGGAAAAATGTATCTAGGCCCCTAAAAATAATGGGGATGTGATTAGACCCCCCTTTTTTTTTTTTGTGTGCCAAAGGCCCTAATAGATAAGCTTGTTATGTTTTAGCCCCTCTTTTCTTTTTCAAGACAACACAGTGAGATTTGTTTAGGAATACCCAAAAATGCTCTCTCTCTCTCTCTCTCTCTCTCTCTCTCTCTCTCTCTCTCTTCTCTTTTCTCACGCTCAAACCATCCCTGATCCCTCCGATGCAGAGATCGTCGACTCAATGAAGGACTGGTTCCGGTCCGGCACCTCGGCCCTCGACAAGATCTACTTCGTCCTCTCCTCATCCCCCGACGGTGCCCCCCTCGACTCCGCCCTCTCTGTTGGATAGCAGGTTCCTAATATGTTTCCTAATTTATTTTGGTAACAGGTTATTGGGATTCCTAATCTGTTTTTGTAACATGATTCCAAATCTGTTTTGGTAACAGATTATTAGGATTTCTAATCTGTTTTATTTTTTATTTTAGAATTCCTAGTATGTTTATGATTTTAGGATTTCTATATATATGGAAAAATTGGAAGAGAGAATTGAGAAGAAAATTAGGGACATTTGGAGCACAGAAAAAAGATATTTTCTGAGCTATTGGTTAGGGTTTTGTTTGGAGAGAATTAGAGATTTATTGGTGAGATTAATTAGTGAGTTGAGTGATTTGTAATCTCAGTTTGTACTCTTCTTCTCTATTAGTGAAAAACCATATCCCCTTCTTGCCGCGTGGACGCAGGCAACTTACTGAACCACGTTAAAATTGGTTGTTTATATTTGTAGTATTGATTTGGTTCGTTTGGCCTTCTCTCGATGTTCGTTTAATTTGATTTTTTGTAGCATGTTAGTTTGGTTGTTTGGCTTTTGTAGCGCATAACAAGTGGTATCAGAGCTCGGGCTATGCTTGGGCTATTTGGAGGAGTAGGTCATTTTGGAGGCTCACCTAGGGTTTCTTTTGATGATAAATGTGGGATCTTTTTGGTAAAGACTCTATATTTTTCAGTTTTGGATCTATTCTTCATTTGTTCTGTATTTTTTTGGTGCTTTGAGAAAGATGGTCGGGAAAGAAGGAGTTGTGGAGGGTACTTCCGGTGTGAAGACCGTCCAAAGTTTGAATATCCACTCTATGAAGATAGATGTGAAGAAGTTTAATGGCACAAATAATTTTGATCTTTGGAGATGTGAAGTCTTAGATGCGCTCAATGCGTAAAATTTGAAAGATACTTTGGAGTTGGACGGGAAACCGGACGACAATGATGAGAAGGTTTGGAAAAAGATGAATAGAACGACGTATGGTGTGATTAGATCTTGTTTGACTCAAGATTTAAATTATAATATGATCAATAAGACTTCGGTTAAGAAGATTTTGGAGATCCTAGAGGGCAAGTATTTGACCAAGAGTGTAGAAAACCGCTTGTATTTGAAGAGGAGGTTTTATCGCTTCCAATTGAAGAAGGGAACATCCATTGGTGATCACATGAATCACTACACAAAGCTTCTTGCGGATTTAACGAATGTAGATGTGATGGTTGAAGATGAGGACAAGGCGTTGTTGTTATTGAGTTCCTTGCCTGATGAGAAATATAAGACCTTCGTTCTTACTCTTATTAATGGGAAGTCATCTCTTTCTTATAGTGAGGTTACCGTTGCACTTGTGAATTATCAGCTTCGAAAAAAGGATAAGGAGACTTCAGTTGAGCCGATAGTGGGGGCATTAGTCGCAAAAGCAAAGAGTCCAAACCGTGGTAGGAGGTCGCAGTCTAGAGGGGCACATCTTAAAGTTCATAGGAATCAATACATTTTGTAAAGATGATGAACATTGGAAAGCCGAATGCTCAAAGTTGGTTGATCAAGCCGGAAAGAATAAGGGGAAAGCTATTCAAGCTTCAGAGGTGAATGTTGTCAAGGTTAGTGGTAATAGTTCAGATTTGGATTATTCGGGCTACTCGTTATCTGCACTATCATCAGTTTGTGTTGCCGACTTTACAGAGTGGATGTTAGATTCGAGTGTTTCTTACCATATTTGCCCTAGGAGGTATTGGTTCTCCAGCTTTCAGGAGTTGAAAAGAGGGGAGGTCGTGTTCATGGGTAATGATCATGAATGTCCTATTGGTGGTATCGGTACTATTTGGATTAGGATAAGTGACGAAGTGATTCGAGAGTTGGTTGGAGTGCGGTTCGTTCCTCAGTTGAAGAAGAACATCATTTCACTTGGAGTTTTGGAGGCAGCAGGCTACAAGGTGACCTTGGCCGATTCACGTTTGAAGGTCACATTAGCGTCCAATGATTGTGATGAAGGGCATCAGGATGAATAATTTATATTATTTGATTGGGAGCACGGTGTTTGATAGAGAGCTGATGATTTCTTTGGATTTGCCTAGACTGTGGTATTTGTTGAGGCTGTGTTATTTGATTGGTTATGACGTGCATGGTTTATTGAAGAGTGCTTTGACCTACAGATTAAAGTTCTTTGAGCATATTGGTATGAGCAAGAAGACCGAGGTAGAGTTTGACACTTCTATCCATCGATTGAGGGGTCTTTTAGGTAGTGTTCAGTCAGGTATTTGGGGGCTTTCCAAGGAGCATCATTGGGAGGTAATAGGTATTTGGTTTCCGTAGTTGGGGATTATTCTAGGCATTGGTGGGTTACAACCAAGTCTCGTTAGTATAAAGTCCTAGAAGTCAACAACAATTGGAAGAAGTATATTGGTAGAAAGGTAACCCGTCGTTCTAGATTTGGTAGAGGTTCTTTCTTGTATTTATGCTAAGCTCATGGCAGTTTAAGACACTTCATTGATATGGAGATATTGGAGCGACGAGATGAGATGACAGTTTTGATGGGTTGTTCCTTATTGGAGTGGGATCGGCATTGGTTGTCGAGCATTGGTTTTGATTTTGAAGCTTCAACATATTTGGATCATCTTGGTCATAGGTTGTCGACTGCTACATGTGGAGATTTTGGATCTGGTGAAGCTGCTTCAGATTTTGGGTTGCGTCGGATATTTGGTTACCCAACATTTGGTCACATCGAGGATGTGAGATTTGATCTGATTGCACGTTTGGGATTCATAGGTTCATTTGATTATCAGTTAGGAGTTTCTGATTTTGTTCTGAGTAGGTATGTCACATTTGACTCTCGGCAGGTGGAGAGTATTGATCAGATCATTAGGATATCACAGCGGGTAGAGGGTGATGCTACTTCATATTGGGTGGAGATTACTCTACATACTCTAAATCATACTGCATTATTTGGGATTCTAGCTGAGGTGACACAGTTTGGAGATCATTTGGATTTGGATACATATGATGAGTTGGTTTTGGATTCGAGTGCAGCTGGTGGACATATTTTGGATACGGCCATTAGTTCACCTCAGGCGGAGGTGTTTGATTTGTTTCAGTTTGGGGCCATTGGGAGCGCTATCAGTTGCAGATCCATTGGTGATATTAGTGAAGAGTTGTAAACTTTTCTATTTGATTGAGGGCCTTTGGAGGCCATTTGAGTGAACTACGTGAAGGATTGATTTCTTGGGCAAGAGGATACGTAGGCAGTCATTTATGATAAAGCCAGTTTGGTGAGTTGATATCAACATTTGGAGTTTATTCGCATTCTCGTTTGGGTTCTCGACTTGTTATGGATTGAGTCCGTTGTCATAGATTTGTTCCACTTTGTACTGGACGCAACAAGTGAGACATTTGATTGGTATTGGTGTTAACTCAATTTTGGAAAAACTTCACCGATATGGAGAATTGTTGAATAACAGGTTTCTAATATGTTTCCTAATTTGTTTTGATAATAGGTTATAGGGATTCCTAATCTGTTTTGATAACATGATTCCAAATCTTTTGGTAATAGGTTATTAGGATTCCTAATCTGTTTTATTTTTTGTTTTAGAATTCCTAGTATGCTTATAATTTTAGGATTTCTATATATATAGAATAATTGGAAGAGAGAATTAGGAAAAAAATTAGGGATATTTGGAGCACAGAAAAGAGGTATTTTCTGAGCTATTGGTTAAGGTTTTGTTCGGAGAGAATTAGAGATTTGTTAGTGAGATTAACTGGTGAGTTTGAGTGGTTTGTAATCTTAGTTTGTACTCTTCTTCTCTATTAGTAAAAAAACCCTATCCCCTTTTTGCCCTGTGGACGTAGGCAACTTGCCGAACCACGTTAAAATTGGTTGTTTGTGTTTGTCGCATTGATTTGGTTCGTTTGGCCTTCTCTCGACGTTCGTTTGATTTGATTTCTTGTAGCATGTTGGTTTGGTTGTTTGGCTTCCGCAGCGCATAACACTCTCCTCCCTCAACCTCCGCCTCTCCGAGTCCCTCGTCCTCCAGACCCTAGCCTACACCC